GGCCGTGTAGACATCTTGAAAAATAAGAGAGTTTGGAAGTTCTCATTTTTAAAACTCCACTTTTGGTTTCATTTAACATTTTCAAAATAGCTTTCCTTACCACTTCCAATCTCCCCTCCCCCCACGCCTCACCAACCCCCTTCGAAAAACTTGGAAAGTTCTGTGTTTAAAACTGAAAATCATTCATATGCCTCAGAGTAACGGCAACATTTTTCTTTCTAAATTTCTAGGGGAAAAAAAAAAGCCAAGTTATCACAAAGCATTTTTCATTTTTTTCCACCTATCCGAAATACCTAATCTCATTTTAACTAGACTCCATCTGAACATCAATGATACTCAGCTATTCCATGAATAAACATGATGTTACAACGTGAAGCCCTGTGACTGAAGTATATAAAAATGTAGCTGGAAAAAAAGGCTGAGAACCCCCCCACGGCCACCACCCCCTCTCCGGGGAGTTGGAGAGTTGAGCTGAGAAGGAGTGAATAGCAGCAGATTTAAATTTCAAGGTCTTCAAACATTTTTAACGTTCATATTAAATCCTGTAAAAGTAAAAACTGTAATTCTAATAAAATCCTTGTGTGTGCAGCTTCCAGTTATAATCAGTTTTCTCTTTTGGTGTGGGATGTGCAATACTGTTAAAAGAAAAAACATCTCAAAACAGATGAAATACGTAATGGAACCCACACTTTCCTGGTGTTTGTGGTATTTTATTAAAATTAGCATACTGCCAACATGAAAAAATACGTACTTAAACACATGTTCATTTGAATGGAGACATTTTTGGTCATCTGAATGAGAAAACAAGGTATAGAAAAGTTATCTACAATAACAAAGATTTTTATAACTTGATAAACTTTCTTAAATTCTATAATAATCCAATTTTAGTGAAATCCCTTCACTAAAAATGAAGGTTACTATCACGTCTCATATTTTCCCTATATTTTCATCTCACAGCACAGACCTCAGGAAATGAAAAAAAATAGTTTTTGTTATTATTGAAGCTTTTTACAGAGCAAATTCTGAAGTCTTTAGAAAGTATTTTTATATCCTATCTGACTGTATTCTGTGTATAATGTTAAACTATATAACTGTGCAGTTGTGTTCTTCCAAAACACATTTGGGACAGCAGGACCATTCAAATACATGAATGTGGGAAGACATGGGGTCAGTTCATGGTAGCATGTGCAACGGGAAGCATAACCCCCTTCCCACTGCCTGGGAATTACAGTGAACAACAGTGACGCAGAGCTCAAAGAGTTTTTCTTAATTTCATTTAAAAAGGGGGAGGAACACCCACACATTTCTTTATGAAATTCCACTGAGATTCTGATGTTGCAAAGAAATTTTATTTCCCAGAACAGTCAAGAGCTTTTAAAACATATTTTTGTTGTTTTTGTTTGCTTTATAATGCATTTATATTCCGTTTAAAAGATATGAGGTCCCATAATTTCTTAGACACTTGCTTTCCCTTCCCACAAAGATTAGAGATCTAAATTACCTCATGACAAAATAAATGTGGGGATGAGCACTTTTGGGGAATGGGAAGCAGATGCTCAAAGCAGTTTCAGGGGGTACCAGGCCCCCAAAGGCATCAGAATTGTGTTTCTGAGGAAAGGTGCTAGTTTCAATGACAGGGTTCTCAAACTCTCTCCTCTTTCATCTACTGATTCATTGATGGGCTAGTTAACAGACATTTATTGAGACCCTACTTGATTCCAGGAATCGCTTGCTCTAAGCGCTAGCTTTAAATAAAGCTGCAGGGTCTCTGTCTTCGTGTTTTCTTCACTATTACCCTAGTTTTTCAGTACCGTGTGTAAATTAGAACTAAATACCATGAGCAGAGAAGTAATGTCTGCGCCCTTTACTCTAGTTCACAATACTTTCTCACACTAAAGAAAACCAAACCCAGGACATTTGTAGAATCTGAATTTTTAAATTAAAGAGGTATTGCAAGTGATTTGCAGATGAGGAACCAAGATCCACGCCAACTAGTTAGTAAGTAACAGAAACAACTTAGAAACAGGATTAACTCCCAACCCAGTGCTCTTTAAACTAAAACTACCCAATTTCTGAGGGCTTTGGTTAGATTTAATTGGAAGAAATACATCAATTCCCATGAGAGATGACCTGGGGTCAGCCATGAAAGGAGGGTAGGGAAATATCATGGGATTTTACTACTTTCTGTCCTTTCTAAAAAGAAGGAGGCTTCTAGGAAATTTCTACTGGTTTGCTACAATTTCTTTCTAGCCAAGTCTACGTTCAAGAAGGAATGGAGTGCTGAGAGTGTTACTCAGATTGTGTGTGTGTGTGTGTGTATGTGTGTGTGTGTGTGTGGTATTAGGAGTCAATGAAATAATACTACGTAATTTAGGAGCAAGAACCAGGAGAGAGAGAGAAGAAAGGGGTGCAAGTGTCTCTTGCCCAAAAATGCTTGGATGCATTGGTTAAATTCGAAAAGCAATTGCTCAACAATCTATCTGATTCTGTGTGTGAATAAATTGGTAACTCTTGCTGGGTATTACTGTATTTTATTCCAACTCATTCCCTTATAGGGCTCAGTACAACTTTATCATAAACAATCATCATTGGTGAAGGCACACTGTAACTTTTTCAGGAAAAGTTATTTTTTTCTAAATATTTTCTTTTCCAATTATAAACCATGATCAAAATTTAATATTTAATCATAATATTTAAATATCTTAGGAGCAATTGTTTGATTCTCTCCTTTATTCATATGAAATGAAAACAAATTTACGGCTTTGGGTTCATGACATCATTTACTGCGTGGCAAAGAAAAAAAGTTGTTTCAGGGCAATTATTTGGATAATTACAAAAAAGATCTAATTAAGAGGGGAAATGTTTGGGGCTGGCTGTAGAACACACCAGAAAACAGTTTATAGTGCTTTTCTGTCACAGGCAGAGAGGTTTAAAAAAATCTTTAAGATTCGTCATAGCAAGCTTTCCTCTCCAGGTTCTTGAGCTATGAAGCAGTTTTTTCTACTCAGAGGAAAATCTTTAAAAGTAAAGCCACAAGCCAAAAGTTAGAAGTTCCTGAGTTTAGCTCTCACAAAAGATAATGTGCCATTTTTAAGAAACATGCTATGAATGGGGGACTTTTCAAAGGTTTTCTCTCAAATGTGAAACAAGCATGGGGAACTTATTGCATCCTGCAGATTTTTATGAGGGGCAGGATGGAGAAGTCTCCCAGATAAGTCTCCTAGCTCAGAACTGGCCAAGTGCTAATTAAGGGCACAAGGGAACACAGATATTAGAGAAATCTGCCTGCTCTCCGAACCAAGGAGGATGGGAGAAAAACCTCTTTCCACAACTCCTCCAAAACTTTCTGAAATGTAAGGTGGACACAAGCTGCTTTTAAATCTTGTTGCTGTTCAAGAATTGAGCCATAATGGCCCTGGGTCTCTTTTTAAACACTAATCATATTTTAAGACATTTTTTTTTACCCCAAATTTATATTGCAACTAATGTGTGCCTGAACTATAACTATAACATTTTCTATCCTCCTAATTCTGAAAGCAGGCTATGACAACCAATAATTTATGCAATAATTTAAGATTCCAACACACAGTTGCAAAGAGCTGCATGAAATATACAAACTGTAACACACAACCCACACAACACACACAGATATCATTTACTGCCAACAGCTCACTACCCCTAAGCAGAGCAGAGTTTACACTCTGTAAAAACCACTGGCTTCTAGGGAGAGCAACAGTATCATCAATTATATTTAATATCTCTGGTGTATTAACACATAAAGAAAATAGCAGTGATAAAGACAAAACAGTTTTTTAAAAACATCAGTCCTTGTCCAGCAGTTAGCCAATCAGAAAGCAGGTCACATCTTGTTAGCTGTATTAAATACATTAAACGTCATGAATTCTCCATGGTTCCGTTGACAATTCAAGCAAGCGTGTTTTATTTTATCATACAACCTTAACTGAGTTCCTTTCCAGAGTTGAGAGGTAATCTTCAATCTAAAATTCCACCAAAGCTATTCCCTAAAAGCTCTTTACCATCAACCCTCCGGGTATTTGTACTCTGCAGAGAAGACTGAATTCCCAGCGATTTCTACTTCCTAAAGTGACTCTGGTGCATCTATAGTAAACTCCTTCCCAGAACACTTCAACACAAAGCCTCAACTTACAGGCAAGTGGACAGCCCAGCAGCAGACCTGCCAGCTGAGCCAGCATAGAGAAAAAGTCAACAGGTATTAAATGTTTAAATTGCAGGAGGCGGTCTGGAGTTTTGCATTTACAAAGTTCTGAAAGTTCTGCTCTCTCTGCTCCCAGAGTTGCTGGCCCAGAGGCTAAGGATCCCTCTCTCAGCCACAAGATTACAAATATGCAAAAACTCAAGCTGACTCAAATGCTGAGCCAGCTCCTGTGGAAGGTAAAGCTCCTTAGGAGACACTTCCATCCACGATAGGAGCAAGTCAAGAACCCCTTTGCCCCAAGCAACTGGTTTCTGAATTTAAGACAGAAATATACAAGCATGTCCCTCCAGGGCTAGTTCTGAAAAGTACGCGGGGTTACTCTTCTGCCTCCTTCATCTCGATTTTGATGACTTTGAAAAGCAAATGCAGGACAAAGCAGACTTCCTCTGGGATTTGTTAAAAAAATTATTTTACCGGATGCAAATGATCACAAAATCCCTTGGAATTTTATCTCAGGGAACACTAAGGGGACCGACCCAGAGCCTGCACCCCCCGGAGTTCTGGGAGAGCAGCGTTTCTGGAGACCCGGCATGCGAATCAAGTGCTGGGTTGTCTATTTCAAGATTCCGGCAGAAACTGTCCCCAGCTCCAAGAGTTGCCGTGCCTGGAAACCCAGCGTTCAAACTAGTGGATTCATCCTGGCGCTCATTTCCACGTACGTGGTAGTATCTGGTGGGACACTTCCCACAGAATTCAGCCAGCAACCCTAGGAAAAAGCCCATGCACAGTTTAAAAAAAAAAAATACACAAACATACACCCAAGGTTGAAGTACTTACCTCTGTGCGAGACTGCAGTCTCTTGTTCATCTCATAGATTCGGTACTCTGGCTGCACCATGTATGGTGTATGTCTCCTATAAAATGGGCCAAAAGGAGAAGAATAGAAGGGGTCATGTGGTGTGCTGGACATCTTGCCTGCTTGTCGAAAATCAAGCTAAATAGAGTATCAGTAACGTCCATGCAGAGCACATGGGCTGTGTTCTTCACAGTACAAAGTAGACGCACGCACACGCTCACACACACACACACAGAGGCAGGCAGGCAGGCAGGCTGCACACACTGGCTGGGAACTGCTGTTGGAGCCCTCTATAGCGAGAGAGGAGAGGGAGAGGAGAGAGGAGGGAGGGAGGGAGGAGGGAGGGAGAGAGCACGGGAGAGGAGGGAGAGGGAGAGAGCAGGAGCTCCAGAGAGGGAGGGAGGTTGGTAGGGAGGAAGGCAGGGCAGGAGGGAGGGCGAGAGAGAGAAAGAGAGGGAGGGAGGGAGAGAGAGAAGCTGGATAGCTTTAGGCACCACTGGTTGTTTTTAAAGAAGCAGTTTGTGGAGAGGTCATTTCCTGTCCACACTGTAGACTAGTTCGAAAATATAATTCTCCTCACAGTCTGACAGAGGTCTAAGGTTTGGTTTTAATTTTTTTCCTCCAACCAGGACCCTTCACAACCTGATTGCTAAGCTTGTTAGCATATAGGTGGTTTAACTGCTGCCTGAGCAACTCACCCCTGACAGCCACACTGTTGTAATGTATCAGAAATATGATTACTACAAAACACAGAAACACGAGCATCGTGGGCCCCCGTATTTGAGCTGGTGATTCACTCCGTGCAGATTTCCATCTGCACTAATCTCCCCATATACTTTTGGTTTTACTTGCTGCTGTTCCAAGAGCTTGTCATAGTCTTTGCATTTCAACCCCTCCTCACCCCCACTCCCTCCCATCACCCCTCTCCCCAGCCCCCTCCCTCTTCTCCCAAGGCTTCCTTCCAGTAGGTTTCAGGGGGCCTGGATTCAGGTTACAGAGGGATTTTCAGGTAAAAACAATCATTCAGAATGTGGAATACCTAAGATACATCCATGGAGCCATGGTCTTTTTCCTAGGAGGAAAAAAAAACACTCCAAAAGCAGACCTCCCAATAAGAAAGGAAAAACAAGAAAGAAAACTCCCACAAAAATGACCATGGAAAATTCAGTTGAGTAGGAAATTGCAGATAATTGAATGGATCATCCCCAAATAACATGTCCAACTCTGGTGGAGACAAGGTTTTTATTTTCCAAGACTGGTCAAGTATATAACTCTTTCCCCAACTGTGGTATATGGAAGAACTAAAAGAAAACAGCCCATGAGAAGGGAGAGAAGCTCTATAGAGAATTAAATAGTCTATACGACAATCAAATTCTGCTGGAACCAATGGTAACCAGACACGTACTCCTTAAACAAAGGCCAGACACAGAAAATGTAAATGTATTGAGCTAATAATACCTAGCTAGGTCAGTGGTATTAAGGAAAGAAAGCAGAGACCACCAAAAAGCATGATGCATGCAAGACCTGAATGTAAATGCATGCAAATGAGACATTTCTTCTTTTTAATAAGCAGATTAATTAACTTTCTGCCCCAATCATGGTTTGGGGTATCTCCAAGTCACTAGCCAACAGGGGATAAAGTATTGCTAATTCTGCAATTTACGGTCTTAAAAATACTCAGGCATGGAAATGCCCCCAAATTGCTGTGTTGATCAGTCCTTTTCCATAATTGCATGAAATGTGTGCAGAGTCCCCCCCAAACTTCTAGTGCAGCCCAACACAGTAATGTCTTTTGCCAGGATGAGATTAGGGGAGGCATTACGCTAAGGCTGCTTGGTGCTTGTTCGAGAAGACCCCAAGGCAGGCCAGCATGCTTGGTTTCAGGTTTCATTACAAATCCAAAAGCTGGACCAAATTTGCTGCAAGGTTTGTCAAAACACACAACCTTCTAAAGACAGGATTTCAAACAAATTTGGTGTGATTTATGTTTTGGGATGACGGCCACTGAAAAACCTAACGGTTCCTTGTGTTTAAATTCTCAAACTAAAGATGTTCCAAGAGTTTCGTGCCCGCCTGCGTTTGTGTTTACATGGCTGTTTCAGCACAAGAATCAAAGTAACACCTAGCAGGCGTGTGCAGCTCAACAGTGATCCAAAGAAGGAAAAGCTCAAAACCCGTGTAGGGAACCCCTTTCTGAATCAGGTTAAGTTTTGCTCCCATTAATTCTTGCGAACAGTTCCAAGTTATAATTGGAAATATCGCTTCCCGTTAATACCTAAAGAGCCCAAATTCAGACATACCTGAAACTTTCTCATGCTTGGTTCATGTTGTTTCCCACCCCTCCCACTTCAAGAGTCTCCAAACTGGTCTCCCCGCTCACAGATCCACACTTCTCTTCTGACTTGTGATCGTCCTTGTTATAACCAGGAGGTTGACTGCAGGAAAGGAAAACAGATCATGTCCCATGCTTTCCCTCAGTGTTTCTCTGCTGCCAGTAGGAAAACGTCCAACTCCTTAGCATGGCACACAGTGCTGGAGACCTGCTCCCTCTCCCTCTCTCTCCCTCCCTCTGTCTCTCTCTATTTAACACACACACGCACACGCACAATTTACACAAACATTCACGATTTATTTATTTGTTTTTTTATTATACTTAATCTTCCTGAAGTTACAGTCTCGTTCCACACATGCGCACATTTGTACTTTTGTCCCTTGTTTACCTGTACACGCTTCCTCATCCTTCTATCCAATTAAATTATCTCCTCCCCTCTGAACCTTTTTCCATCGCTCTTTCATTAATTCACTTATTCCCCAGATCATTCTATTCACAGTGGAAAGGGAACGGCTATCGCACTGGCCAGAGTATGTTTCAACCCACATTCCGCCACTTAGTTGCTCTGTGAACTTGAGCAAGTGACTCGACCTCTCTGCGCCTCAGTCACCTCATTTCTAAATTGGGGAGAATGATAGTAAAAATCTATAAGATTGCTGCAAAGGATTAGATGAGATAATACACTAGAATGTGTTAGAACCTGCATACATAAATGCTCAAAAAATGTTATTATTTTTAGGTACCTAAGGTATGCTTAGGTGCTGGGGAACATCAGGAGGTCAAGGTGGACATGGCAGACAGGCTCCTTGCCCTCCTGCCCCTTGCAATCTAGTGAAGGTGTGGGGGGGACTGCATAGAACTAATAAGCCTTGCGGAACATAATTTCAAATTGTAGTGTGTGCTATGAAGGAAATAAATAAAAGGAAGAGATGGAAAATAATTTTCTCCTTCGGGTTAACAGTGTACCTTCTATATTCTTCTACTGGATAATTTACATATAAACACAGTAATTGCTGTCATTTATGAAGTACTTACTATGTGGCAGACCCTGTGCTGAGTGTTTCACAAAAATATTCTTCATTAATCTCACAATAAACCCATGTGATTGACTTGATTACTCTCCCCATTTTACAGATATGGAAACTGGGGTTTCGAGATGCTAAAAAACTTCTTCAAGGTCACGCAGTTAATAAGTGACAGGGACAAGATGCACACCAGTCTGCCTGGGTCTTGAGCACGTTGCTGCTTGGAGCCCAGGTCCATCCTCATCTTTAGGGTGTCTCTGTTCTTGGTCTCTGGTGGCCAGCGTGGTGCTGAGCCCACAGCAGATGCTCAAGCCATATGTACCCAATTAAATGGAAGAAGAGGCAAGCGGATGAAGTGACTCGCATCACTTGCATGTTATTCTTTGTCCTGCTTCAGATATCCATTGTCCCCCTGCCCCCACTTCTAACCATTCTCCTTGAAGCCTTGCCAAACTACTCCCACCTTTCTTTTATCCAAAATCTTCCGTCAGTAGCTCCCAAAGCTGCCATGTTAGGTGTTTAATCCTTTGCTCCATCAGGTTACCTGGTTGGTTTGCCACGTGTCTGTCGGCCCCGCTTCCCCACTTCTTGAGGGACCAGCTATGACTCGTCTTATTATGGCCCAGGGCTGAGACTGAGAAGGGAAAGAAATGAAGTGCTCATTTTAAGCCTGCAACTCAATTCCCTTGGGAAACCATAGGGAAATTCAATAAGCAATATTTGTATACCATAAAAGGATGAACGAGCCTACCCCCCAAAGCCACAGTTGCCTTACCCCCAAAGACTGAACCATGCTAGTTTCCATATAATTTTGCATGTTAAATATGGAATACATTCCAAAGTCCTCACACAGACATTCAAGGTGCCCTAAAAGCTGGTCCCGCCTTTAAGCTTGGAACCTCATCGTGCTATATTCACCTTAGGTTTAACACAGAATGTTTATTTTTCCTTTAATTTGAAATACTTGCCAACAGTTTACAAAAGTAAAGAATTTCACTTAAAATCCAAATTGTCATCTTCTCTTGAGAAATCGTAAGCTCTGGCAACCCTTGGCCCATGCCTGCCTCCATGGCAGCCTGCATTGGGACCTGACTTTCAGTGTTGTGATTCACCATGGTCTCCAACACTCTGTGGCCTTCACCAGCCCATGCCCCTAATTTCCATTTACCCGCCTGGTCCCTCTAGGCATTTAAGTCATTGCCCCTTTCCTTCATCCATCCAATTGCATCATCTCCAATTCCTTCTACCAAGCTCTGGTTCCTACAGAAAGCTAGTTTTCTCACCACTCTTCAGTTCCCTCCTCTGCCCGTTCTATTTCTGTGCCCTATATTTTTCTTTTTGCCTCTTCATTCAATAAGCATCTAACTAACATATATGTGCAAGATACATCTAAGATGTGGCAGGGGGATAAAGATCAACAAAGACAGATAAGGCACGTTCTCTGCTTTCAAATGATTTATAGATATGCAAAACACGCTGCCTTCATTCACAAGCGTATATTGAGTCCTTACCGCGTACCTGTGCCAGGTGCTGGGGATATAGCCCCAGAAATAAGATAAGAGTAAACCCGGAACTAACCCCCAACTCTGGGGTCTTTACAGTAGAGAGCAGTCTGGAATAATCTTCTTTGGAACCTCACTGATTTGGCTTAAATCTTGAATCTTGCATTTAGCTGTCTGACCTTGGGCATTTAACCTCTCT